TATACCAAAAACAAACCAAACCCACTGCCATTGAGTCTATTCCAACTCATAGTGACCTTACGGAAGAGTAGAACTGCCCCATATAGTTTCCAAGGCTATAGCCCTTATGGAAGCATACTGCCTCATCTCTCTCCCCTAGGCTGGTGGGTTCACACCTCTACCTTTTGGTTAGCAGCAAAGTGCTTTAGCCACTGTGCCATCAAGTTTCCTCATAGGCATACATCTATGTTAAAGTCATTTGCTTATTTATTCAAAAATATTTATAGAGCATCTCCAAAGTGCTTAGCATAAGGGCCGCAAAAAAGACAGATAAAGACAGAGTCAGTGGTTTCAAGGATCTCATTGCCTAGACAATGTTAACATCCTGTTAGTTTATCTATCACACAAGATATTTCAGAATAAGAACTACAGTCACTCTGGATACTCCTCATGTTTAGTAAACCGTGCTCTTAAGGCATTTGAATGCTAACCAGAAGGCTGGCAGTTCAAACCCACCAGCCACTACTCAGAAGGAAAGTTGGGCAATCTACTTCTGTAGTGGTATTGCCTCAGAAACCCAAGGAGAGGTCACTATGAGGGTGATACGACTCAACAGCAATGTGGTCTGATTCGGCTCAATAAACACTTTCTGACCACGTAGAATACATTTAAAGGTTCTGTAACAATACCAATAAATAACATGGGGGTGTAAATTACATTAAAATTTGGAGGTGACCTAAAAACTTTGGCCAGAAAGATAAAGAACACTGCTTTTGCCACATCCCATGGAATCTCAATCAGTCTTCAAATTTAGTTTATGTTCACAGGTTATATTCAAAAAGAGGTTTTGCAAATAAAAGCAAGAAATCTTTGTAAAGGCCATTATTATATATTCAATATTTTCTGGGACAGTTTCAATTCCAAATATTTTGTTGTGTTATTCTTATAAGCACACTAGTACTGATCAACCCCTGGTCTCTGTGTTAGGTCCAGTAACTCTACTTGCTATGTACAGCAGAGTGAAGTATGTTTTAGACAGGCAGCAACTACATAAAAGTGTGATGTCCGCAACTCTAACAAATTAGAGAGAATTCAACATTTTTACAAGTCCAATTTGGATTTTCTTTGGTCCAGTTTATCTTCATATACAATAATAGCAATATTTAAGCAGTTTTTTAAGCAAGTAACAAAAAAAAAAAGATGTTCAAGTGCCATATTACAGAATCATTAATTCTTTTGTGGTCCTTGGGTTTAAAATCAATGTGATTCATAGACCCTAACAAATAAAAATAGTCATGAATGTCATACACAAAATTAATTTAAATACTAACGAATGGTATGCAAATAAATAAAAAGAACTATATGATCAATACAAAAAAGTTGTTTA